GATGGAAAAGAAACAAAATCCTAACCATTGTAGACTTGTCTCTACTGTGAAAAATATTTACAAAGTCATACTGTATAACAAACGCCATTATTATTATTCAGCTCTTGCAATCAACCAGTAGCAAAATGTATAAGATTTCATAAGGTTACAAAATGTAATGTAAATACTATCAATCTTAATTTCTATTTTTCAGTTCACCTGGATAGAAACTGAGGGAATGGGTAAGAAACGGAAGAAATGATGGGGCACTAAGTGCCTCACCTTATCAAATACAGACTCAAGAGACACTGAAGTCTGTAAAACAGAAATACAATTTTAAGTATATTAAAGTCACGAAGGTAACCAATGGAACGATTTAAAATAGTGATATAACTGTATTGGAAGTAGGACAAGGGCAACAGTAAGTGTAAACTAAACCCTCACTTAATAATCTACCAAGATACACTAAATCCTCAATCTAATATCTAAAGTTGATAGCAACTGGTGCAAGTATACTTTAAAATACTGAAATATCCACCAGAAGAACTGAACACAAAACAGGAAAAAGTCTGGAGAGCAGAACTGGGATAAAAGGGGTAGGGCAAGAGACTGTTGCTTTTCATTTTATAAATTCATCTGTACTGTTTGATTTTTTTTTAAACCTTACAGATGAGTACATTTTTTAATACTGAAAAGCTAACTTCTTTAAGAAACTTTGTAAGAAATAGGAAATTTTGATACAGGAAAATTAAACTTCAATGCTTTCATTCTGTGAATGTTTTTGATCTGTTTTAAAGATTTAAAAGTGTTTGTATATACATACATATGTATATTTTAATAGCTAAAATAAAATGCTTTCCACAATATTTTGTTATGGGAAAAACTTCTCCACCTAACAAAAATGTACCTTTCCAATGTTCCCACAGATAGACAAAGTATCAGCACAAGGACTACAATTAATACAAAAATGCTTCCAGTGAACTGAACACTAAGACAGCAAGCTGAAGATAAACACAAATTATTTAATTAACCTATAGGATCACCAAAATAGCAGCAACATTAGTTGCTAGAAAATACCTTTCTCCTTTTAACACTGGAGTGGCTTTACAATTTAATTCTAACGGGGCTTATAAAAAACTCCAAACACTTCTTTAAGAGAAATAACTTACCAAACTGCAGTTTTCAGTTTTTACTTTAAAAACATGCTTTCCAAATCTTTAATAAGATTATTTAAATAGTACTGAAAAACTATGTATTTTACTTTTAATGTCAAAAATCATGGCGCACCAAAGGCAAATATCACCATAAAATGGTGCTGATTTACTTTTTTACATACACATACATGTTTTATTATAAAGTAATTTTGGTTCACTAACGCATTTTAGACCAGAGTCTTCCCTTCCTCTCCTCCAATTCCATTTCACCCAGAAGTCACCAGTTTTATCAGTTTGGTGTATCTATTACTTTCAGACTTCTCCTGTGCATGCACACAAACATACATATACAAAACATTTAAAAATTTGTTTTAACAAAGGGCATAAAATGACTAGTTATTGCCCTCAGTAGTATATTGTGTACATTTTCAAAACACAGACATTTTCCTTCAGTTTACTGTTTGCTAACTGCCTGAGGAATTTCTAATGGCTGCACAGTATTCCTGTAAATGAAATGTCCCATATTCAACCACCTGAAAAATAACATTTCATGTCTTAGGTTATAAGCCGTCTAATGGTTATAAAGTCACATCTTGAAAATTTAAGTCTCTTGCTCTAATGTTTCACATAAAAATCACTCTCAAATTTTACATTCCTCCGAAACATATTAATATATATGGTCAATAACTGACATAGACAAGATTAGCAGGACTATGTAATTTATCAAAAATCAAAATAACACAAAGCAAAAAACCCTTACAGGTACTGATCATAAGTAAAACTGGAGAAAATACAAAGGGAGTAAAAACAAGAGTCAAGACCAAACTTATAAATTAGCAGGTACTTAAAAAAGAAGTATAGGACTTCCCCGGTGGCGCAGTGGTTAAGAACCCATCTGCCAATACAGGGGACACGGGTTCAAGCCCTGGTCCAGGAAGATCACACATGCCGCGGAGCAACTAAGCCCGCGCACCGCAACTACTGAGCCTGTGCTCTAGAGCCCGCGAGCCACAACTACTGAAGCCCATGCTCCGCAACAAGAGAAGCCTGAGCACTGCAATGAAGAGTAGCCCCCGCTCACCGCAACTAGAGAAAGCCTGGGCACAGCAACATAGACTCAACACAGCCATGCATACATACAAAAATTTTTTTTAAATCTTTAAATTAATCAACAAAGATATTATAAATATTAACTTGAAAAATGGTATTACTTTTAAAACCTCAAGTTTTAAGAAATGGTTATTTGGTTTTAAAACGGAGCAGGAGGCTTCCTGGGAAAAGACATTCCCACCCCCTATCAGTCACCTCTTATTCAGAGAAAAGTTTTAGCCTCCTAGACTAAATTTGGTTCAGAAAAGCAAGAAAATGCAGAAACAAAGGAAAGCAGTCTAGCATGACAAAATAATAATGGCTTAGCCATAAAACAAAGTCAAGGACCTTTAGTTCCTCCTCAAGGCCTATAGATAATATCCTGAGCCATATCCCAAAGTTGTTTTGCAGAAACTAAAACCCCCACCAGGTGGAAGAAGTCAACTGCATGCTGACCACCAGCAAGCAGACCTCAGACCCTTGAAAGCAGGCTGATAATTTGAGATTACTAAAATGCCACCCTGTTACCTCACCACCAACCTATCAGAAGGATGTCCACGAGCTGATTACTCACCCTGGACCCTTTCCCTCATCTTGCCTTTAAAAACCCTTCCCTGGAAGCCATTGGGGAGTTTGTCTTTTGAGCATGAACTGTCCATTCTTCCTTGCATGGCCCAGCAATAAATGCAGTACTTCCCTTCAACCACAAACAGTGGCAGCATAGGCTTTTCTGCACCTCAGGGGAGTAGACCCAAGTTTGGTTTGTTAACAGTTTCACTGTTAGTTTAACAAGTAGCTAGCCCTAATTTTTAAAAACATCATTCTTACAGAGCCAAAACACAGTAATTACAAAAAATTTTCTTAAAGGAAAAAAAGAAATTTTTCTCTATTCCAAAAAATTTGTATAAAATAGTTTAAATACACTAACTAGAAAAACAAGTAAGAATCTTTATTTAACACAACAGATGTTTGACAAGAAGTCTACAAAACACAACACCATTATTTTTAAGTAAAATTACACACATAAAATTAACCACCTTCATAATGGTGATATGACGTCTTTAAATAATGTAATCCTCCATAATATACAAAATAAACCCAATACTAATGGGACAATTAGTTTAGATGCCTGTAAAAAGTATAAGATTGCCCATCTTTTCTAAATCACCTGTATCCCTATTAATTCACACATAAACTATTGCTCACCTTTCCAAATACTACTCATATTTAATTTTTCTAACTACAAAATGTACATCCTCTAAAAAATCTTGGAAACATGAATAAGAAAATAAAAAAACATAATCTCACATCTGGTACATGTTCTTCCACTCATTTACCTAAGACAGACATCAAACCTCTTTAAGAAAAATGATCATAGAAAATGAGGGCCTTTTAAGTGGTTCATTCGAGTCTATCATATTCCAAAAGTTATAATCCTACCATCACTAAAGAAGTCCAGTGACGTTAATTCTCAGTGGTTGCAGAATTAGTCTATTTACTTATCTAAATGTACTTTTCTTTTGTGAGGATATAACATTAGACTTGACTTTCTATTTCATCCACCTGCGTAGGAAAAAAAGCAGACGTTAAAAAGGCCTAGGTCTTAAATCTTGATTTTCTAAATTAAGATGAATGTGACCTTGTGTAAATTACAACCTGAGTCTGTCAGATGAAAATGGAAAAAACTGCACCTACCAAATAGGGTGGTTTCGAGGATTAAATGATACATGTGAAGAGAGCAGCCAGTGCCTGCCTGGCACTCAGTAATAACTCCACAAGTATTAGTTCTTCCTTTCCCATTAAAAGAGGCGTGAATGCGACACAACTACTAAAAGTCAGACTTTTAGACATAAATACGTGAAATGTGTTTGTTTTAATCAGAGCTTTCACTCATTTGTAATTAAAATTACTTCACAACCCACTTACACCGACGACAACTCAGGGTATTACTGCACCAAAATGAGTTTCTTTTCCTGAAGTAAAATTTTAAGGCCATTTTACACTTGCTTGGCTATCTGAAATCATAGCCAACAAGAGAGAAGAACTCAGGAAATTTCTCTTGTAAAAGTACTCCATGAGTTAAAACCCAGCGGTTGAGAATTTCCTTTAAGAAGGATAATTAAGAGATTGGCGGGGGAGGAGGAACTCCAGACTTTTTTTCCCACTTCCAATGATAAGTTTGGGGATAAACAAAAGAATAATTCTTTACAGTAATTTACAGAGAACGCCACGGACCCATAAGAATACTCAAGGGGAATGGTAAATTTGAAAATTGCTCCCTGCAATTTTCCGAGAACCTGGGATTGTCCGAGAACCTGGGATTCTAAGACTTAAAAACCTTGGGGTCTTTCAACAGAACTGGGGAAATGAGATGGAGGGAGGAGGGGGTAAAACGGTCTGTGAAAGCCAGAGAGCCAGAAAAAGCAATGGGAGGGGGGAGGGGCTGCCCCCAAAATGCCAAAGATACAGGCTTTGGAGAAGCGGCTTCGCTTGCGGGGAAATCAAAGTAGTTGGGGAACTAAGAAAATGAGGAAATTCCAGCGCTGCGCGAGGAGGAATGGAGGGGGGCGTGAGAAACAGGGAGGCTGCGGCGGAAAAAGAGGGGTGGTGTCGTCCGAGATAAGGGTCGAGGGGGAAAGGGAGCAGCGGCGGGACCGGAAAGCCCGGACAAGGATGTGAGCCGAAGGAGGAGACGCTGAGGCGTCCGGGGTCGCCGAAACTTAGAGAAAAAGAGTAGGGGACGACAAGGGGCCGGAGCAGCGCGGGGCGCCCCGGTACCTGCAGAGATCGTCCAGGACGCTGCAGGGAATCTCCACCCGTTTAGTCTCCATGATGAGGACCCACAGCAGGAGCAGTGCATCCCGGCTCCGCGCGGCCGGGGACCGAGGGTACGGCACGGAGAGCAGGCGGCGGCGGTGGCGGCAACTGCGGCTCCGACGAAAACGAGAGGGGGAAGGGGCGGGACCCGCTCACTTCCGCCCGGCTCCCTCAGCCTGGGACCCCGAGGCTGGGCCGCGGAGTGGGGGCGGAGCCCCTGGAGCCACGCCCCTGCTCTGCTTGAAAGAGCCAATGGGAAGCTGGAGAACCAGCAGCCTGAGCAAGCTAAGCCAATGAGACGTTTGTTTATTGGTCCGTCGGCTCCAATCCGTCTTCAAGCTATTCAGTTGCTACTCAGAAAACCAACTTCCCGCCGCCTTGGACTGGGCCCTGAGGTGAATAGACGCATGCGCACCATGCCTCCTTCGCACTATTAGGAAGTCAGGAGGGCTCAGGTCTTCCCACTAGATCCCAAGAGCGATATCCAGGACTTCGACGTGGTCTGCACCGCCGCTCCGTGACCGAGCAGGCGCTCCGACCTCTGCACTGCAGAGCCCGTGGGCGCTTTCAGCACGAGTGTGCATGCGTGGTTTCTGTCACCAGATATCCCGCGCACACATTCACCGCCGCCCCCAGCAACTCCAGGCCAAGGGCTGTGTCTCCATTCGCTACAAACCCCCAAGAGAGTTGTCATTTTTGTGGTGGCGCACCTCGTTCACTCTGCGGGCACCCAACCCTGGCTGTGAAGACAAGGGACTTTACCCCAGTATTTGACACCCTGTAAGATCTCAGAAAATATGAATTAATTGAACCTGAACTCTGGAATCTGCATTCCACCTCCTGCACGCTCACACCACTCCAACTGGCTAGTCCTCATTCATTCCACATCTTGCTTATTGGAGTCCAGTCCATTTGGGATCCTTGGAGACACTCTTGGATGCATCCATTTATCAACTTGCTCCTTTTGTATCAGACCCACAGGCCCACTCAGTCTTGAGTTTAGTCTGTTCTGCCATGTAATCTCCCATCTTTTAATTTCTGTTAAAATGCCCACTGCCTTTACATCAGGTTCGCATTATTTCTTCTCCCTAGTCTAAGAGCTGCCTAACCAGAACCTCCTCCACCTCCATTCTTGGACTGTACACCTGCCCAGGTTTTGTTTTGTTTTGTCCAGATATGAACAGGTTACTATCTTTTCAGCTTCTGATAGCCCACCTACATCAGCTTCTGATGTATGTTCAAGCCCAAACTTGGTATAGGAGCCCTGTTACCATCTATTTTACTCTGTTTTCCATCTTTGTTCTTTTTGCTTTTTATCGGAAGATTCCTCAAGTTTATTTTCCAGCCATCTATAGTTTATACTTTTCTAGAATTTTCTTTCATTCTTCAAATGGCTCTTCGTCATGGTGTCATAGCCTTGCTTCATAGATCCTGTATTCTATGAGGATATTAATACATTTCAAAAGTTTTCTTCTTCCTGAATAGTCTTTTATTCCTCTCAGTTGGTTTTTCCTATTAATTTGGCCTCCACCTATCATATTAGATGCTTTCTGGTGGTCCTCAACTATTCACTCATACTTAAGAGTATGGAACTAAAAAACTGGAGTCAAGTGCTGTAAAAGCTGATTGGAAGCTCCCAGCATGTGGGTGGGACTTGTTTCCTGAGAGCTTCACTGTAGGATGGTCTGGCTGGGCTGCTGGTTGGGAACACATGGCATCGGTATCTGTAGGTCATTCTTTCCAGCTGCTCAAATTCCCCGTAGAGAAAATCCTTTCAGGCCAAACTGGAAATATTCTAGGAGTCAAGTAGGGAAGCACAGGCCGGAGTATTCTGTTTGTTCTATTCAGTCCTCCCTGCCACAGTACAAGTCTAGTTTGGGTTTCCTAAGAAACAGGCCCTGCGACAAGGATTTGAGTGTGAGTAGCTGATTTGAGATGTGATCCTGGGAGAGACTGGTGGCAGAGCAGGGAAGTGAGTCAAGGAAAGGATTATTATCAACAAAGTTAGCACTGAGGGTTAACTGGAGCTGGAGAACTTTGAAGACCAGTATGAAACACACCTCAGAGTTATCCTACTCAAGGGGTGAGAAAGATGGAGTATTTATACTAATTTCCATCAACTATTGGTTGAGGGCTACCCTTGGGTCAGCATCCCAGCCTGCCACATGGGCAGCAAGGCAGGCTCTGCTGACCAGAAAAAGCCCTCAGGCAAAGCCCTCATCAGGTGGAAAAGATAATTACGTGATGACCAGATGCTGGCAGTTGGATGTTGTTGTGCTGCACCAGGGCAAGCCTGCAAGCCTTGTAGCTGCCCAGCCTCGAGACCAGAGAAAGAGCCCGGAGACAGCAATAGAAACATCAGTGGTATATTGGACAGGAGGATCTTACACAAAGGGTCCTGGGGTGCCCCTACCATGTGCAGCAGATGGCAGGCAGGACATGGCAGGGAGGAGGCTACCATCTATAGGGAGAATTCACATCAGGTGGGCTCATCAGTTACCAGTGACTAATTAAGGCCTATAGTTAAGAGGATTGGACAGTCATGTGAGTGAAGCAGGGACTGGTCAAGCAGGGATGTACAGAAAGCAAGAGAACAGCCATCTTGAATGGCCTGACCATGCGGATGTCCAGGCAGCTTGGTGTAATGGATTGGTGGATGATGGTAAGCCCCTTCAGTAGCTCTATCTTGCTTGGTGTGCATTCTATCTATCCTACTGTAACAAGCAGGACCCCATAAGGCCTTCCTGGGACAGACCCTGCCCCCCCTCCGCCATGTCCTCTACCTGCCTCTTGTCTGTAGAAAAACTTTAGCCAAATAATAAATTTAATCAGAGAAGTGAGAAAATGTGAAAGCAAAGGAAAAAAACAAGACAAAATAATAAAAATTTAGCCATTAAACAAAGTCAAGAACCTTTAGTTCCTACTCAAGGGCTACAGATAATATTCTGAGCCATATCCTTTGAGCTGTTTTGTAGATACTGAAAACCCTCATCAGGTGGAAAAAGTTAACTATGTGATGACCAGACTGTAGCAATGACATAAGCTTCTCTAGCTTACACAAGTCTGAGAACTGACCTCAAAGACATGGGAACAAACCAACCCTGGAACTGAAGATTAACTGTACTTAAAACAATCAAGATGACACTGATCAGACCAGTGCATGACCAATTTCAATATGATTGTCGGTGCTGACTGTGCTCTTCTGCACTCAGCCCCCTCTCTCCGCCTATGCACCCCTGAAACTCCCTTTAAAAGTCCTTGCGCCCTGATCGGCAGTTGGGAATTGGCTTTTGGACACGAGTCCAAACCTTCTCCCCAGGTTGCCAGCCTCCTAAGTAAAGCAGTTTTTCCTTTCCTACCAACACTTGTCTCTCAAATACTGGCTTCCGAGCAGCGAGCAGACAAACCTGAGTTCAGTAGCACTAACTGAACTTCTTTTCTGTGTCTGAGGGACACCTTGGTGGTTATTTTTCTTAGCTGTCCACTTGTAGCTCAAGTCTGGTTTTTAGAGCACTCTAAATGGTGGCAGTGAAACAATGGTGGAAGGCAAAGTGGTGTTTACCCCCAAGGGTCCAATGGCATAAAAACAATCAGGCTACCAGCCCCACTGAAGAACCTAGAGGAAGTTTTCCTGCTCCCTTATTTCTTTATAGTCTCCCAGCTCAGGGACAGCTACACAACTCCTTCTTTGGCTTTTAGGGGCCAGGAAGTCCCCAAACTCTCTCACAGTGCTAAGTCAGTCTCCTCCACAAAGAATTCCAGTGATGTCTGAGGGCAAGCAACTTCCAAGTTACTTTCCTGCCCATTCCCCATCTCACCCCTGCTTCCTCTCACACACATTTCTAGGAGCTGGGCTAGTGCACAGTGGAGCAGCCCTTATAGCAGCCCTCTGAGCTGTGACTTCTAAAGAACCCAAGGCCTCATTCAAACCCAACTGTCCACAGGCCCCAGAAGCCTGTGGCTTGAGAGAAGAAAATAAATTGGAGTTTGGAGTTGAGGGAAAGGAAGATGCTAGCGTTCTTAACTTATAATATGATACGATTTTTAAATAATTGGGTTGATCAAAACCTTTATAGTTTTAAAATGTGCTATCTCATTTCGTGTTTATAACTACATGGGATGGGCAGATAGAGATTAATGAAGCTTATAAAGATTAAGTGACTTATAAAGATTAAATCATTAAACCACTGTATGCAATGGAGCCAGAGCTAGAATTCAGGTCTTTTGAACTCATCAG